CAAAACAAACACCTGAAGAAAAGTACTAAGATCAGTGTTTACAGAGCCATTGTACTGTCTACTCTTTTATATGGGTCTGAATCATGGGTCATTTACCGTCACCACTTGCGTCTCTTAGAACGCTTCCATCAGCACTGCCTCCTTACAATCCTAAACATCCACTGGACTGACTATGTGACCAACATGTCTGTCCTTGAACAGGCAGCAGTCACGAGCATTGAGGCCATGCTGCTGAGAACTCAGCTGCGTTGGGCAGGGCACGTCTCCAGGATGCAGGATCATCGCCTCCCTAAGATCGTGCCTTATGGGGAACTTGCCACTGGCTGCCGCAAGAGAGGAGGCCCGAAGAGGAGATCCAAGGACTGCCTGAAACAATCCCTCAGCCTTGGCCATATTGATCACCACCATTGGTCTACCCTGGCCTCCAATCGGGAGGCCTGGAGACACACCATCTATAATGCCGCTGCTGCTTTTGAGAACACACGCAGGATCACTCTCGAGGAGAAAAGACAATGCAGAAAGAATCGCGTCCTGTCGATATCACCTGGGGAGTCTTTCTGCTGTACGTTCTGCAACTGGACTTGTCTATCTCGCATTGGCCTTTTTAGCCATCAGCGCGCTTGTAGCAAGCGTGGGTAGAGCCCCTCTCAAATCTTCGTTCGCGAAGCCTAGCCATGATGATGATGATGATGTATGTATTCATCTGTATATGCACTATACACTTAGATGTATGTACAAATAAAATTTGATCACTTTTTTCAGGTTGTTTTTTATTTATTGTTTTCTAAGACATTGGGAACATTAAGCACAAGAGACATGAGTAACACTGAATTGACTCATATCTTAGCTTCCACCTTACCACTGCAATTAAAGAATCAAAATCTGTGGATCCTGAAGAAGGGACAAATTGACACAATGGAAAGACAAAATTGGACACATTAATTTAAGGGTGGTTTGCAAAATAAATGAATTTTTTAATAAACTTTTGAAACCTATCTCAACTTCAAATGAAATTGAAAATATTGCAGGAGAAGCGAAAAGCTGAAGAAGCACTAAATGAGCTGAAGCGCCAGTATGATGCTGAAGTTGGGGATCTTCAGGTGACAATAAAAAAGCTTAAAAAGGTGAGTGAGTTGAAGTCTGGTGAGATTTTGAAGTGTTTTAAAAGATTTTGACCTCAAGATGGATAATCATAAGTTTTTTAACCTAATTTATATTAGGAAATGGCAACTGCAGATAATTTTCAGTAATTTGTTGAAATAGTTAGGAAAGGGAGTAACTGTTATCCAAATTCTGTTGTTGAAAAATTTTCTAGGTCCATCAAGTGTCCATCAAGTTGTTAACTTTGCAGTTACCTGGTCTTGTATTTGGTACTTTAGAAATAATCCAACATATTGCCTCTAAGCATTTATAATTTATAGATTTAAATGAAACTGGCAACCCAGATATAGTAATTTACAGTAATATAGTGCTCCTGAGAACCCAACTCCAATCTGATCTTTTAATATGATACCTAGTAGTAAGGCAAACTGAAATCTCAGATATGAGATTGCTTTGGGATATTTTGTTATTTGGGCTTAATTTTGACATTAGTTTTTGCTGTAAATTTTAGCAGAATTATAGCAACCAATATGGATATATTTTTTATTCTTTATATTGAATTGAACTTGAGCATTTATAGAAATAGAAATTTCTTACAAGAAACATGAGAGGTTGTAGTACAAATACTACACAACTGAGGTAGTAATAATTTTTTATAATTTTTTTTAACTTAGTGGGAATACACCTGTTTGTATCTTCCCAGTTGGTGACTTCTGTGTCACTAGTTATGCATATTTTAAAAAGTAGGTGAGCAAAATTCTCATTAAACATTTTTTAATTATTAATCTAAAAATTTTTTAGAAAACCAGTGATTATTTGAGTAGTGCTGCCTGGCAGCACAGATGACAAAACTCTTAACTTTTAAAAACTTAAGTAGCTGTAAAACCTCTCAGGGCTTACTTAATGTGATTTCCATTAGTTTTTGTGTGCTTTGAATCAGAACAATCAAATACATTAATTGTTCATTTTTTAATCTGTCTAGCTGGAGGAGCAATCCAAAAATGTAAATCACAGGGAAGATGTGGGTGAACTGAGAAAAAGAATGCATGATATGTTCCTGGTAAGAGATTATTATCATTAACATCATCTAGCCTCGATTTTAGTCTCTGCAGTGCAGATTTTTGTGGGTTTGTGTTTTTGTTTTGTGGGTTTTTTTGGGTTTTTTTTTTTTTTTTTTGGTTGATTGGTTGGTTTTTGGTTTGGTTTGGTTTGGTTTTGTTGATTTTTGTGATTTTTTTTACATTTAATAGTGGTAAGGTACAAAGTAAACTTTTCAAGTAATTGATAAGTCTGTGAGATCCTTTAAGTTGGAAGAGTACCTGTTCTGTATAAATGCTTACACATTCTATATATAACATTTAGAAATGGCTTGAGACTATATAGTCCCCTTTTTGTGTAACTGAAATGAAAAATAAAAATTCAAAGGTTTTTGCATGTTAATTTAGTGACTTCCCTGTTGATTCAATGTTCTTTCATTTTCTTTCCCCTTCTTTGCCAAGATTTTAGTATGTTTCACTTTGATGTAATTTTGATAGTGTTTATTTTATCATTATAATTTATCAATATTTTATGGAGGTGACTATGACATCTAACATCTAATATCTTTATTTTTTAAAGGAAAATCAGAAACTTAAGAAAGATCTTTTAGAAGCGCAGACAAATATAGCTTTTCTACGGAGTGAATTAGATAGCTTGAAAAGCGAGTATGCAGATCAGTCTTTGAACACTGAGAGGTAAGTTACTTTTACGTAGTAATTTTCACTGGGGAAAAAAATCTGCTCTCTGGTGTAGTTGCTATGTATGCAGTTGTGTTTTTCTAAATTTGCCATAAAGGACAGGTACACATATGACACCATGCCATCACTGCTGTTCGCTTTTCTTGTTTCTGAAACAGCAAGTTCTGGATATGATGCAAATTCTCATAATTTTGCAAGAACATCTGTTGATTTTAGTGGGACTTCAGTTAGAAATGAAATAAGAGTGCAGCATCAGCAAATTTTTTTTCTCCATGGCATGCACTCAGATTAATATCTGTTTGAATATTAGGGAGAATAGTTTTGGAAGCCTTCCATATCAGTCTCAAGCATTTTTTTTGTAAAGTGAATGAAAGCTTCTTCTAGTTACTACTTTTTTTTTTCCCAGTCTTTGTTGAGTTACAATGGCAGAGATTAATTAAGTCACCAAGTGATCTTTGCATAAAACTGCTTTCAACATGTGTCAGCATAAATGTAAACTCTACCAAAATCAGTATTATAAAAATTAAAAAAAAAAAGGATATCCTGTAAAGTATAATTTTGTTTAAGCTTGGTGTTTTTTGTTTTCTTTTTTTTTTCCAGAGACCTAGAAATTATCCGTGAGTATACTGAAGATAGAGATAATCTGGAAAGACAAATTGAAATACTGCAGTAAGTTTTTAGTAATTCATTTTATTATTATCAAATTTTGTCCCAACGCATGTGGGGGTAGATATTTTTAATGCAAAAGGGTGTGTTGAGATTTGGTAAAAAGTACACAGTGAAAATATTAAAATGACCTCAATTGTCATAGAAGGTATTGTGCTCAATTGTTGTAGATGTTACTGTGCTAGTAAGACCACTGTGTTCCTGAGACACAAACTCCTCATTTATTTTTTTTTCTTTTTTTAGCCCAAATAAATTTCTTTATCATAAGATGAATGAGATTTGAGTCTTTCCATGCTATCATAAAAATTATTGTCTGGCTCCTTTTTTTTTATTGCCTTCGCTTTTCCAGTAACTTTCTGTCTTATTTTTATCTGGAAAGTACTGTGTGTGTGGAGTATTATACAAGAGGTGCACAAATTTTTGCTTTCAAGGAGTGTCACAATGAATAGATTTTTTTTTTATATATCTTTATTTAATTTCTTATCGTAAAAAAATTCTTTCAAGTAGATGAATCACATTTGTCCTTAGAGTCACCTCAGCAATATTTAGATGTCAGTCACTTTGTACAGAAATGGCTGTACTAGTGGGTTTTTGTTGCTTTTTTGTTTTTGTTTTGGTTTTGGGGTTTTTTTGGTGACCATTTTTACAGTATTTTTTTCCACTCAGCGAACCAGAGACCATGCTGCAGAAGTGAAAACGGGTGTCTTAAACTGGGGGCTAAACTTCTCTGTGGCTTTTCCACATATAATGATTTGTTTCAGTGTATGTCAATGTTTCTGGTTTCATGTTATTCTTTAGTGTTTATCAAAAGAAAAAAAAAGGGTTTTTTGATAAGTCTTTATTCAGTATTTCTTTGTGATAAGTTACATAGTTTTCAAGTTTTCTCTGCGCTCCTGCAAGTTAAACTGTGTTTCCTTATTAGATCAGCTAATAGAAAGTTACATGACAGTAATGATGGTTTAAGAAGTGCACTTGAAAACAGTTTCAGCAAGTACAACAGATCATTGGTATGTATTTATGATTTGTTACATTATACTAGAAGGTGTAAGAATTAACAACCCAAATTTAAATTGATACTTCAGTGGGTGTCAGAAAAATTTGAGTTTTATTCAGTGGACTCACTGTGAGAATACTCTTGTGTAGTTGAATTTTGTTAGATTTTACTAATGCATTGTGAAATAATGAGGTTTTGTTGGAGCACAACAGCTTTCTGAGATGCTTTGAAAAGTAGTTATTTTTTTATTATGCTGTGATCAGATGTATTTAATGATGTGAATAAATCAGTGGTTTTTCTTGCACTATGTGCAAGAAATGTGTTTGTATTGAGTTCCCTACCACTGAAAGTACACTTTTTCAGAAAACTACCCTTTCTCAGTAGCAAGGTATTCATCTAACCTGAACTTTTGTCCAGGCACTGGGAAAATAAATAGCAGGGACTACTGATGACAGAGACCTTAGTCAAATCTTTTTGGGCTATTTCAACTCCATGGGAATCTGTTATAAGAGGTGTAACCTGACATCCTCGAAAACAGAGAAAGGAGGGCTTGAAAATAATGAAAATCCTACTCTACACTGCCATTTTCCTGTTGTGAAACCTGCTAACCTCTAAAGCTAATGACTGAGCATCATGAGTAAAGCAAATAACTTTTTTATAAGCTTAGGGCCTGAATAATGGGCCCACAAAGACAATACTGGACAGGAAGGAGGAAGATAAGGGTCATTGCCTCTTTTCCAGTGTTCTGTGCCAAGGTATATGAGTGGTTTTTTTGCTGATACAAGCTACTAGATACTCACTACAGGTGCAACGAGAGGTACCATTTCCTTCTGTCATGCCCTGAAACAAAAGGGAGCATATTACAGAGAACAGAGAAGAAACTGTTTCCAGTGAATAAATGTTTAGAGGCATGACAGAATGTACAAAATACTCTGTCACCTAGTATCAGTTGAGACCTTTCCTTCACTATCTCTCTCAAGAACTATTAGAGGTAGCTCTACTGAAACTAGCTCAGCCAGTGACATTTCCATTGTATTTTTAATTTAGTAGTCAACGTGCCTTGTTCTAAATATTACTTCTCAAGCTTTAGCAATTCAGAATCTTCAGGTGTAGTCAAAAAAATAATCTTGGAATTTCCATTGTCTTTTGTGATTGAATGTGGTTAGTAGGTTCAGTATTACGGCAGCTGTAGGGCCTAAATTTTATATGTAATAGGCCTTTTGACACTCATCCCTATATAAAGCATGAGGTTTAATTAAATGTAAGTAGTTAAATACATAATAAAATACACATTTCTCACTTTGATGATGCACATTTTTTTCACAACAAATCTGGATGCTTTCACTCTGTTTATCAAACTTTTGCATTTGTTATGTATCTGTTGCAGCGGTTAGCAAACACCTCACCAGGAAGTACCAATTCTAGAAGCAGTCCTAAATTTAATGGTGGACATTCTCCAAATCCACGGTATGACAGGTAAGCCAGGCTTGCTTTTGTTAAGTTAAAAATGACTAGGGTATCACACTTGTCATAGTAGAACAAATTGCTGTCAAATAACAAAGAGGTAATTTTGTCTGAATTAGAAGGAACTTGGGACCATAGCATAACACCCAAAGTATACTGAACTCAGTAGGAATCTTTTTAATTACTTCAGAAAGCTCAGGAAAACTCTTCTCAGTGCAAATTGTGAATTTATGGAGAGTTCAGACAACCTCTTGTTAGTTTTGGACTGTTTTGATTCTAGTTTGATTTTTGATCTCCCCTCCTTGTCTCCAAGAAGCTACAAAAATCTTCTGAGGACCTCTGTTACCTAGCTTACTCAGTACTTAAAAAAAAAAATGTTTTCGGTTGTATGTTCAGCCTCTGTGTCTTGTTTTCCCATGTACAAATTATTACAAATGAGGGCCTAATTCTTCAAAAGAAAAAACACCCTCATCTCACAGTGACATGCCAGAGCAGTGAGTGTACTCAGCTATTAGTGTGCTAAAAGTCACAGAACAATAAGATATCTAAATGCAAATATCAAATGGTCAGAGGTATTTATTTTTGTACTTACTGGATACATGTCACTGATCAGACCTTCCTCAGATCATTGCAAAGACACTGAAGATACTGTGCAATGGAGCCAACCTCAAGTACTATAAACCATGCTACACTTTCACACTTTTAAAAAAAAAAAGCAACTAAATCTGCCAGCAAAAATGTGTGTCCTTACTCAGTTGTTAGATTTTTTTGTCTTTTTTCTTTCAGTGGTTCTCCAAACCTTGGAGAGATCTCTGATAGAGTTCTTAGTAATCTATATCTTACATTTGCATTTACATTTAAAAGTCTTGGAAAGGGATGCTGTCTCTATGTGAGATGTGTTTGCTGACTCTGAAGTTTTGCTTGTCGGAAACTGTTTCCTTCTTCTGCTCTTCTTCCCAGTTCCTCTTTGTTTGGACCCTCTGCAAATTTTGAAAGGCATCCACTACTAAGTTGCACATTACATTGAATAATTTTCTGAAGGAGTGCAATCCTTGCATTTTCAGAAAAGTGAGAAATACAAGCTACTTTAGAAGAAAGCTTATGTAGTAGAAATAAAACTCACTCTTAAGAGATGTGACTTAGTGTCAAGTGACAGACAGTTTGTTTTCAGTACTTCATCTCCTGTCAGCAGATCGGCATTAAGAGCTATTGATTTGCATTCTAACATATTTGAAGCAATTTGTGCAGGTGTGTTTTGTCTTTTTTTTATCTGTAACACACATCTTGGTCTACCTTACTTTAAGCATGTATGAAATTCCCAGCATTGAATTCATGGTTCAGTGAGGTTGAAAATTTGCTACTAAAGACCTTTATTTCAGTGAATGCCTGACAAGCTTAACTTTGTTATAGTGTACACTCTTCTTAATTCAGTGATTTGGTATAGGCCTGTAGGTGCATAAAGGCAAAGAGCATGTATTCTTTGATGGTCTAAAGCAAAGATCACATTCATTCACATGATTATTCTTTAGCCTTAAGGGATGTAAATTAGAAAGTTCTGAGTGTTATTGCATGGAACAATGATACCCCTGTCACCCCCATTTGGCCACGTGCAGGAATTTGACTCAGTAACTACTTCATAATTTGGTGTTCTCCCCACTGTACTCTGCTGTGCTGTATCATCATGTTGGGAGGTCTCAACCCCTCTGGCACCAAGTTAATGTTACAAGTATTGATGCTGACCTTCTCTGTTTTAGCAGTTCAGTGCCTCACATCCATTCCCAATGCAGCAAAGCCAGACTGTTTCTGTCTTCTCTGCTGTGACCTGAAGACCTTCTTTACCTCACTGTAATTTGTGCCTGTTCCTGTCTTGCTGCAGGATCACAATAATGATTGTAGCCATTATACATTTTTTTGTGAGATTGATTATTTTAAGATTCACTCTATTAATCTTTCTTTTATGTAGTTTTATTTACATTAAAAAAAGTGCTTTTTTTCCTGTAAGCCATACTGGCATTGCTGCATCCATTAAGGCATTTATATATATTACAGCATCCAAAATGGAAACCAAAAAGTCTTTGAAGGAGGGGTGAGGGAAAAGAAAGGACTTCTGAGCTTGGTTACTCCCTTTTCTATATTCATGTTCCTTATTAGCATGTGCCTCTGTGAGCAAATGCAATTATTTAAATGAGACACGGTGTGTCAAGGTTATTTTATGGCTTAGAAAATGCCAAAAATTAGCTAAACCATTGTCTATAATTTTCTGCCTTTGGTGTCTTCATAGTATGTAATTTTTCTGAATGTTTTTAAACAGTTTTTTTTTAATTAGTAAGTAGACATACTGAAACATGGGAAGTCATCATCAACAACATAGATTAAATAATTAAGCATCCTAAGAGATATGATTGAGAAGGAAATTCTTTATAAGGGCAAGATAGGCTTAACGTATGTCTTTAACATCAGTGTTTCTAAGAATCAGCTGTTTCAGAATGTCTCAGATTTTGTTGGGAAAAACAATTGTGGAGTAACTTATTCTTTTCCCCTCCAATATTTTCCTATTAGATCATCTCATTCATCTTGTGTAGATGAAGATTTTGATTCTTTAGCCCTTTGTGATCCTATGCAAAGGATAAACTGTGAAGTTGACAGCTTACCTGAGAGCTGTTTTGACAGTGGTTTGTCTACCCTGAGAGATTCAAATGAGTATGATTCAGAAGTGGAATACAGGCATCAAAGGATTTTTCAAAGGCCACAGTGTATGCAAGAAGGCTTTGGTGGTGATGCTTCTGATACAGATGTAAGTGCCAGATTTATTCCTTCTCTGAGAAAGACCTTTGTTTGGAGACAAAATTAGTTTCCTGTTTTTAAGATAAGGTGTATCTTTCTCCATAGGGCAGTTAAAACTAAGTATTTGGGTTATATGTATTCACATAAGATTAGTAAAATTGTTTTGGAAAATGCAATATTTAGTTCTCTTTAAAATAAAATGTTTGTTTTTACATTTTTTGGTAGATTTGTGAGGTGGTAACTTTATTTTTGAACTGTACATGGTTTTTTAAGGTTGTTAAACAGTTTGGAGAGAGGAGCTCATTTTCTAATGATAAAAAAGCAGACACTATAGAAGTAAAACAGGTTTCCAATCACTTCCTCTCGGTATGCTATGGCAGTGAAGGAAAAAAGCATATATGAGATGGAAGAGTACTATTGGTGCATACATTCACTTACATGCTAAGTCTCAGAAAATTTAAAAATATAAGAAGGTGTTATGCCCATTTTATTGTTAGCAAAATGGAAAGATTTAGTGATGACTACATATCAAGACTAGTATCAAACGCAGTAGAACATGGGGTTTTTTAAAGCAACTCCTTTGCTGTGTGTTTAGTAGAGACATGTAATCTCTGTTTTTGGAGACTATTCTATGAATAGTGTTGATTACAGTGGTGCTGTATTTAGTTTAGCTTGAGTAGTAATATCATAGAGAGTAATGTCTTGTAGGTAAATTCTTAATATTTGTAAAATAGGCATGGAAATAAAGTATTTTTTAATTGTAACTTTTTAAGCTGAAATTTTCATATGGAAATTAATTTGCTCTATCAGAAAGAGTACTGAAAGAATATATGCCAAAATGTAAACATGATTAAGGACAGTATGTAGGCTATAGTGAACAGCAAATCTGAATAAGAACAGAATAATCACAGTATTTTGATTAGAATTGCACAGCTCTATTTGGTCATTCATATCGGTTTAATCTAAACTGTTTAAATAAATGTTTTAACGAATCTTGGATGTGCCTTTCCAAAAAGCTGTACTTTTCTCACTAGAGAGCTAATTTGTACTTTCAGGTTCCAGAGATCAGGGATGAAGAAGCATACAGTCCTGATAACAGCACTGCAGTGTTAGACTGGAAGCCCTCAAGACCAGTAAGTCGAAGCAGCTCAATTGCTTCAACAAGGAAATACATATCTGCCCTCACTCCCCAGGTAATCAGTTATTTAGGGGAAAAAGGGAAAAGAGTGATACACAGAAACTACTTTCTATATAAGTTGCAATAGAGGGATTATTTTTATTTTCAGTCAGATACAGCCGAATGCACTCCAAAATACCCCAGTTCAGAGAAGGCTTACAAGATTGTTCTTGCTGGAGATGCAGCAGTGGGAAAATCCAGTTTCCTTATGAGACTTTGCAAGAATGAATTTCGAGGCAATACCAGTGCAACTCTGGGTATAGTTGTTGTTCTTTTTAAAATATTTAAGTGAATTTCATTGCTGTTTTGCAGAAGTGGGTGAAAAGATTCCATTTGTGGTTGCTTGCTATGGTCACCTGCGTATACGGACACAGCTTCTTAGGCTGGGAGAGCTAATTGGCTACTAAAGCTTAGCAGTGCCTAACAGTTGTTTGTAGGTTTGTAGGGTACCAGCCTAATTCAGTTTTTCTTTACAAAGCCTGTTTCTGAACAACACAAAGCATCAGAAAAGAGAATTTCAGTATAAGGAACTTTTAGTGTTTGTATGAACCTTTTTGCATATTTCATTGCTTTCCTGTTTTCACAGCTCTTTCCTGTTTCATTAGTATTTCATAGTATCCTTTCATAATATTTGTTGTCTCAATTTCTTCAAAGTGTTACTGAAGCTTTGGTTTGAATACAGCTAGAGGGATTTCTGACTGACATCTTTTGTATACTGTTATAGCTGTCAACTAACAAACTCGTCTTAACAATGCGGCAGACTAAATTTTTGTCTTCCAATTGAATCATAGTTATATATTTGTTTTATTGCCTCTGAGCCAGAATTTTTTCTCCAATTTATCTTTTTCCTCCTTGACATTTGAAAGAAAGTCTGTTTTATTATTTTTTTTTATTTCTTTGATAAAACTGTTTAACGAAATAAAAGATAGAGAGATATCTTGTTTGCTGTTCAGGATGCAATTTGTATCAGTGCTTCTGGGAAAATACTTGGGCAAAATGTTTTTTGAAATGCTTTTCTAAAGATAGATACATTCAGGGGATTACTGCAGTTTTAAAGTATATGAACATACTTTATGTGAACAACAATGTACTGTATGTGAACAATTGAAATCTAATAACCTATTAAAAGAGATGAATTTTGAAGTAACTGTATATAGCGTATAACTTTTAATTTTCTGTGTTTTTTTAAAGATTATTGTTTTTTTGTTAGACTATACACATAATTTTTTTCAGGTGTGGACTTTCAAATGAAAAGATTAATTGTTGATGGAGAACCCACAGTGCTGCAACTGTGGGATACAGCGGGGCAGGAGAGGTTAGTGATCCTTTGCACTTCTCTAAAAGTTTGCCTTTTTTTGTCTGGGTGAAAAAAATCCACTAATTGTACGGTCCTACAGCAAGTCACTATGGCCTTATGTAAATGTCTATAAAGAGATGTGATTTTTCTCTGCTGAGACTCCAAGACAGGTGGAATGTTTTTTTGTTAGCTTTGGTGGTGTTTGAGGGAATCTTTTTTCTCCACAGAGGGAAGTAGTTAAGGTTCACCACAGTATTAATTAATTAAATCCATGTGTCCCTCTTTTGCAATGCAAAAAGATGGAGTAGATGCACTTTTTTTTCTACTTTTAGTCTTTAGCTTACTTTGTCCTTATACATTTGTATTTTAAAGCAGGCTTTTTCTTAGAGATTCCTTTCCCTTTACCCTCCTCTCCTTTCTTCTCCTCTTTGAAAAACCTGGTCCTGATTTGGATTGTATTTAGGATATGAAAACTTCTTCCCAAAAACTTTAGAATTTTGCCATAAGTCTCTTCCCAGATTGCTGAATATATATCCAGGATTCTTCAAATTATTACATAAAGTTTCTACAAAGTCCTATGTCATCTTTTCTTGAGAGCCATTACTTCTTTACCGACAGCCTTTGGGGCTTATTAAGAGGTTAATCTAGCACCTTGGAAGTCACTTTAATCTGTTCATTGACCAAAATTTCTGTTGGGCTGTATGTGCTTACTTTTAGCTGAATGAGTGCTTATGTGAAGTAGGGAGGTAGTGGCCCAATCATTCTCCTTCCATGTAATAAATTTGTGAAGAATATTTTAATATCCGGTGTAAATACAAAGTTGGTGTACTTGGTTAAGTACATTGTGTAAAGTTCAATGTGAAGATAGTTAATCCCTGGAATAATTTTGTTGGTGTCCTATCTTTTATCAAAGGAGGTAAAGCAACCCCCTCAATTTAGGAATTTGTATGTAAGTGAATCGTAGAATCATAGAATCATAGAACCATTAAGCTTAGAAAAGACCTCTAAGCATATTGAGTCCAGCTGTTAACTTAGTACTGCTGTGTTCACCACTAAACCGTGTCCCCAAGAGCCACAGCCACATGTGCCTTTGTGAACACTTACAGGGATGGTGATCCTGCTGCTTCCCTGGACAGCTCATTCCAATGCCAGACCACGTTTTCAGAAACGACATTTAGTAAAGACAATCTAATCCTCCCTGGCACAACTTGAAAAAAGATTATCTGTGATAGATACACTGTAGATTGTTTTGATATACAAAATATTGGTGGTTGTTTAGGACAGAATCCTCTTGATCCTTAAGGAGCATTTGTACACCTGCATCGGCAGTTTTTAAGAACCACTTACAAAAGAAGCTGGAATGTGGAGAGAATTGTACTCAGTAGTGAAATTAAGAAATGCTCCTTTCTCAGTGATGTTAAATTTATTTTTTGATAATATGGTCTTATGCAAATCTTTTTTTTCTTAAAGATTCCGAAGTATTGCTAAATCATACTTCAGAAGAGCAGATGGTGTCTTACTACTATATGATGTAACATGTGAAAAAAGCTTTCTTAACGTGAGAGAATGGGTGGATATGATTGAGGTAATACCCTTAAGTATATACAGTTTATAAGCCGTGTTTCAGTGCATTGTTAAACTTACTATTTAAAAAATTTTATTATCTGTAAATTGTAGTTAGCCAGACTGCAGGCTCTCATAGAAGTAAAAACTGCATTGAAGTCCTAAATGTATCCTGACATATTCAGTTAACATGCAATATGATTCATCTTTGTGTAAAAGATTGTTGTTGAATCACATTCTTCCCATTCATTTCCTTTGGAAATGAACATGAGTGCCCATTTAAGTTACCTTCTTGTGGATGGCTTGAGTATTCCTTCGACTCTTTGCATTTTAAACCGATACTCGTGGTTTTTTATTTGAATGTGAATTTACATTTAACGCAAAGGGTTTTTATTTTGTGCTGAAGGTGTTTAATAGGAGGAAAGTGACAAGCAAAATGTTTAGTTTACTTTCTGAAAGCAATTTTTTAAAATTGTGGTATAGGAGTTGGTTACTTTTCCCACAGTGATTTTTGTCATATAGCATTTGGATGCAGTAACTAATTCCGTTAGATTAACTACACACATTAAATTAATTGTTGGGAAGCAGGGCTTGTAAAAATGGAAGCGTGTCTTTGCAGGCTGATATTTAAGCTGACTGCTTACTTATTGGATGGTTTATAAAAAGTTCGCAGCATAACTTTCATAATGAGTCAACTTTTTCTTATAGTGTGCAAGACTTTTTTTGGGAAAAAAATGTGTGACATGATGATGTTAACTACTTTTTTGTATTTTGAGTGTTCTAGCATAAGGAAATAAAATTCTTTTTGCAGGATGCAACTCACGAGAATATTCCAATTATGATGGTGGGAAACAAGGCAGATCTCCGTCAAACTGTTACAGAACAAGGGCAGAAGTGTGTGCCTGTAAACTATGGAGAAAAGCTGGCTATGGTAAGGTCAAAGCGTACCTCTTTAGGATAAAAGGGTCTTTAGAACTTTAGTCTGAAAACCACATAAGAAGTTAGTAAATAGAAGTAATTTTCTGGTCATTTGTCCAAGTTGAGTAATAAGTATCCATGGATATTTCTCAGTAAAACTATTCTGTTTTGGTAGTGTTTGCTGAGTTAAATCACATCTCAGTGTCTAGTAAGCTGAATTTCATTATTGGCTGGGATAGTCTTCTCTTGTAAAAAAAAAAAAAAGTGGCTGGACTAGGAGACTGAGTTTTTCTGCTGCCAAAGAGAAGTTACTGGTTCAAATATGAAGCAAGCTGTTTAGTGAGGCCTTTCAACTGGCTTGTGTCTGTCCAGGTTTTGAGTGGAATGTTTTCATCTTCAAGAGACTAGCTTGTATTTCTGCCACATGTGCAGAAAGAAAAAAAAGAATTCTCTACTATGAATAGAAGTGTGGAAAGTTTTTTTTTGCATGTATTTATATGCACAAATCCTATATTTTGCAGAAAAATATAGAGAATATTAAGAGTCTTGAGTTTCTTAGTGCTTGCACGATTGATTGAACTTCAGCAGATACGATATCTGTTATTTATGGAATTATGTTTTTGGTTAACCTAGAGTATCAGATGCTGTAGTTTGAGTAACTAACAAGCTAGATTAAGTAACCTGTCCTAGCAACTCTCTTCATATTTTGCAGTTTTGTGAACAAGAAGATTGAGTTTGAAGTTAAGAACTATGATATAGTTTTTATTCAGTTCATTAATTCAGACTATACTGAATATTAAACAGATATAATTAGAAAACAATTACTGTTTTCTTTCACAGTACTAAAGTGAATATTTTGGAGAATTAAGAGCACCAGAAGAAATCCTGTTCATTTAAATGTGTGTTGTCATTTTTTTGTGTTATTGAGGAAACCATTTGTAATTAAATATACATGTTCATATGGAACCATTTCAGATTAGTTGGCTTAACATTTTATTTTTACTCGTAGACTTATAACGCACTATTCTGTGAAACAAGTGCTAAAGATGGATCTAATATTGTAGAAGCAGTTCTTCATCTTGCTCGGTAACCATATATTTTTTTTTTTCAAATAAGCACAGCTGAGTATATTTTATAAAAAGGACGTAATATGTGAATATACATACGAAGTTATACATGTGGTTTTAAGATTGTACCAACATAAACAAAAAAAAAAATTAAAGAGAACACTGCGTTGAATTGTTATAGATAAATGAGAGACAGGATTTATTCTCAGTTTAATCAAGCGACATTTTTGCTTGCAAATGTTACAAAGCTGTTTCAATAGTTAATATTCAAATTAGAGCTCAGCTATGGAACCCATAATTTTAAAACCTAATTGGTGATTTTCAATTGTACATGGATTTACTTTCTTAATTCCCTCTTAAATTATTTTCAAATGTACATAATTCTATGTATAATTATTTTTTCTTTCACATAAATTAGTATATGCTCAGTTCTGTTACTGACTATTCTAATTACACATATTTTCCTTAATGTCTCTTTCTCTGAATTATCTAGAAGATAGAAATTCTTTATCTATTCCTTTAGCACCCCAGTATTTCTGTGAAAATGTGTTAGCCAAACATAACACTTCCACTACCTTTCCAAATAATTTTTTATCACAGTATAATTTTTCAAGGCCGACGTTCTGTAATCAGTAATCTCTCATACATGCGCAAATTTTAAGCACACATTTATAAAAAACATCCAACAATGTGCATTTTTGTTCTGAAGATAAATGAATGCTTGAAACAGAAGTTATTTGGTTTTATAATTTCAGCTATGAACATATTCTGAAGCAAATAAATAAAATATCTCAAAAGAGAAGGCATATCACAACATTGGAGAGTTATTAGATATGAGATATAATTGTATTTTTATCACTAACTATGAGTTGCATAGAAATATCCGTATGATTCCCAAATTAGAAACTTATGAGACGTTATTCTGTGCACTAACTCCGTAGTTTCAGCCATGCAACAGATGGTGGTGAGCTCTGTAAGATATAGTGGGAGAAATGAAACAATGAACATGAATAGAAATACTATAATTGAGTGTATTTTTTGTTTGGTGATTTTTTTTCCAGTGAAGTGCGAAAACGAAGTGATAATCAAGATGATACGAAGTCAGTGACCAGCCTGGCTGGGACACCTGTCAAAAAATCAGCACTCACAAAAAATTGTTGCAATGTTTAAGAGACACCTAATTTCCCTGAAAAACGTGTGTTTTAAAAAAACCCAAACCCAAACAACAAAAAACAAACCAACAACCAAGTCAAAATATTTCAATAATGTTTTCTTTTTGTTATGGATTTATACATTTGTGTGTTTAGAAATTGTGTATTATGTTAAAAATTCGGACTCTACTTTCTATTAATTCATAATTTGTGCAATTGCTTTACTCCATAGACTCTGGTTTCACTTTTCTTAAGTAATATAATACAGTGAAACGAGCTCAGAATCAGTGCTGCAGTAGTCACAGCATACAACGTTGCAGTACATATTGTTTTCTCTACCTACATGTTTCTTTATGGCCAGGGTATTTCAGAACTATGTCACTCATAGGTAAAGAGAAAATTACAGCTTCAGTTAATCTTTTTGCTCGTGTCCACTTATCTAGCTTTTGAGGGCCTTCAGTTATATGTTGAGGAAACATTTCTTTAAAAACTCTAAATCATTAAAAGTTTGCCCTGGTCCAAGTAAAGCCTAAGTTTAGGGCATGAAGCAGAATGATCTCTGTTGGGAAAAGACAAGTGGCAGGTGCGTGGGATTCTGGTGTACTTTCTCAAAAGTTGGTAAGTTTAGAATGTGTTCTGTTTTGGGAGTTGGGGTTTGTTTCAGAACTGAGTATACTTTACATCTGATCCTACACAGCTCAGAGGTGAAGGAAACATTGGTGTGGACTATTACCATTCAAAATTCCAGAGAGAATGTAACACCTTTTACATTCATTGCTGAAATGAGTTAATGATCCAACCTGCCTGTTTGTTTAGACTTTATCATTATTAGTATTACAGAGTGATAGGGATTGTAATTTTCCCCTTGTTTTTCAAATGTCTTCTGCTCAGTCAGTAATTGAGGGATTGTAATAATACATAGGAGTCTGATTTAAGGGATATTTTTTGTCCATTTTAAAAGTTTTAAACGATGTGAAAGAATTGCTGCACATGCACAAACATCTGTATAAGCTGTTCATTAAAAGAAGACCCTGACATGAGCAGCAACCACTTACCTTAGTGAGAATTCCTTTACCTGATTTTGGGAATGTTCTGAGAAACTCAGCAAGGGGTGGTAGCATTAAGTGTCAGCATGTCTAAAAACTGAGTTGTTATTATTGCTTAAAATAGTTCCAAAAAGTTCTACAGTGTAGTAACAATTTTAGGTATTTATACAGGTAACTGCCATGATCCAGTTCTTCTTAGCTTTCACTAATTTTGATCAGAGTGGAATCTTTTCCAAACCAGCAAACTGGTTTGTCTCTTCTGTATCTATTAATAAAACATCTCCAGGCTAACTCTGTAAGTCAACCTTGGATGAAGTTTATGGACTGATTGGAAACGCGTATGACTGGCAGCAGTTACTACTTTTTATCAGCATCGTATTTGAACACCGTGTAGCCTGTATTGTGTTATCCGTTGTATTAAATGTAGAGTTCTCAAAACCAGGATGATTCATAATTAAAAAAAAAAAAAAAAAAAGTTTAAGGTAGGAAGAACCGTGTTTTTAGGCATCCTTTCAAACTCTTACCAGAGCAGTTAATCCTCAGGTAATTATCTGGAAGTTTGTTCTTAACAAGACAGAAAAATCTAATACTAGAATGAATAAGACATTTCACAGGATAGTAATTCAGCTCTAGAAGAGAAAACTTATTTGGCGGTGTGGTTTTCTTTAAAGTACTAAGAGAATTTTCACACACTACTTTATTCCAAGTGAGAGACTTCAGGCTTGTAACATCTTCCTGCAGAGCAGTGCAAGAGGCCTCACTGTAGTCCTGAGATTTATCTGGAGCTGGTGGCAGAGAATGAAGGACACTCAAGTGTATAAGAAATAATGCCTAGTCACATACATTTTATCTGCTATTAACCTTGTACTATTTAAATGAGAAAGTTACAGTTCCAGTTAGCTTCTCTGAGGAGAGAAACAATGTTGAACTGACTGCGTTGATGAGGGCCTCTTCTGTGTTCTTCTCTTTCTCCATGAGTGAAATTGAAGTAGTATTAATTTGAGTTGTATTTGCAAAGAATTCTTCCTGCAGCAGTAGGGAGAAGAGAAGAAGAGGATCCAGAGCTTGGTTTCTGAAGTGTGACCTTACAACATGTAGGCATTTGCATTTTCTCAGGATAAGAAGGTCATGATTATAAGTTTTCTGAAAAATCCATGTACCAGGAACCTCAAAAATAGCCGAGCCAGAGAAGCTAACTAAGACTTTCATTCAAATAAAAGGGAGAGTTCCTTGGACAATCCCCCCAGGTGGGGTCTCTCAACTGAATGGGGGTCGCAGTCTCTTTTATCCCCTCTGCCCAAAACACAAGTCCCTCTCTGTTTCTCCACTGACTGAGGTACTCAGGGTTTACAGACTTCCTAACAGGCCTACATGTCCCCCATTACATGCTCATTAGGGGCTTTGAGGGTCCTCAGCATTTTCAAAGTGAAGGTTACTGCATATTTATCCCTTGCTGCTGATTGGTCTTCATGTTCTGGGCACTCTAATATCTTGCGCTGGGCAGTTACATAACTTTTCTATCCCTTACTACTAAGCTAACTGTGACTACTACAAACTTTACGAGAACATTCTACTTATTCCTAATAATCTTCCCTTTTTTTTTAAATTATGGTCTTGCAAAAGGGAGTGCCATTTTGTTAAGAACTGATTTTAATTGTTAACGAAAGAGTTAAAATCTTTGATCTGCTTCAATATCTAAGGTTGAAGTTTCTTGAGAATGAGTAGTTGGTAATTCTCATTTATGCACTATTTTCAAAGCCATTATTTTCTGTCCTTTAATTGCCATTTCAGGGTCATTAGGCGTAGCTACTAATTGTATCAGCTTCATCACACACGCAGTAAGCTGCATAAGACAAGGAATCATAAAAGGCAGGAAAATTAAGGTAGCTTGCCTGCAAAGAACAAAGAATAGTATTCTCTATTCCTGGTCCAACTGCAAGCCTTGAAAACATATCTATGCCCTACCCCTTCTAAGTTTCAACCGGGACACTGGCTAACTTTCAGATTTCTTTTGTTAATTTGTTTTACTGTTTTTCCATTGTCATTGGTTTGCAGGCAGCAGTTTGAGTTATTTAATTTTCCACATACCCCCCTTTCCTCTGCTAACAGATAATCAAAAACCATTTGATGTTGAAAGTTGGCAGTTCTCATTTGGGTTACTTGGTCTGCCAGCAAGTCTAAGGCGTTAGCTGTTTGATTGGCAATAATCTCTAATGTAGATTGGAGTCAAATTATATGATTTAAATTATAGATGGACTCTCTCGCTCCATGAATCAGTTCATGGGGGTTCCTTGATATTATTATCCCAACAAGGATCCTGAAATGCATATAGTGGTGGGCCATTAGGAAAGGAAAATACTCTTTATTTTCAAGTCCCAAAAGATGAAGAACTCTGGAATGGTCCCTTGTTCAATGGAAACCGGGCACTTAAGGACACTATTGGATTTGTGGCCAACACATATATAGAAGATTGCCTGAAAATTGGAAAAGGAATTTGTTTTGTAGGATGTATTAAACACTTACGCTTTTTATTAAACCATATACAGGGGAATAGTCTGGGAATTAAAGTATATGATGATTTAAAAAAAAACAATGAGAACTTAATACTTACCCTAGAGGAGGAAGTAAACAAAAATGGAGAAAGAATGAGTGGATTTCTCAAAGGATTACTGAGAATTATGGGCCAGCTATTTGGAACCTCCTTGAATTTAGCTTTTGCAATTTCTTCCCCTAGTGCTAAAAATCTGTTTCATTCTATTTGACCAGTGCACAGGTGATAACAAAGAAACAGGATCAAAAGTTTTATCTTCATTTGATTGTTGATAGGAAGGTCCATGTAAGTAAAAATTTAGTAGATGCCCAGTGGGTAGATGCAGGAGCTTCTTCCTAAATCAACACACACGCTTCTACTCACGGTTTCTGTGTAGTATAAGTTTAGACTTTCCTTCTTTCTCTTCTAGTTGTGAAGTCCAGACCTCTGGTGCTTTAGAAGGTTTCACCTGTGTATGGTGAGTCCACCTGTCCTCAGCAGTCTTAATTGCTGTCTCTGTGGTCAGTAACACCTGATATGGTCTGCACCACTTAGCCACCAGCAGCAATTCTTTCCGCTCCTCACCTAGAACCCAGTGTCCTGGCTGGATGTCATGAACTGTGAAATCCAAGGGTAGAGTTTGTGCCAGCTGAGCTGCTTGTTGAATAGGTTTTACAACAGCAGTATTCTGGCCACATGCTGCTTTATGAACAAATCAGTAATTTCCATTCTGCTTTCTTTTTGTAACCCAACCGGATAAGGGATTCCAGATTTGAGGATTATCTCAAATGGAGATAACTTGACTTTCTCAAGGTTTAGCTCTTATCCTTGCTAAAGCTGTCGGTAAAAGCTAAGTCCAGGGCATTTTTGTTTCTATTACTAATTTTAAAAGATATTTCTTGATCTCTTCATTCATACATTCTGCTCATCCGGAACTTTGAGAGTGCCATGGAATATGTGATGCAAAAAGGCTCAATGTCACATACATTTTAAGAAAGGCCTCAGCCAGCCCTGAGGTGCCTCAGTGACTCTTGAAGTTGTTCTAATAATTGTAAGGCCTTTGGTATCCATTGTTTACCCTTCTTTGTGAACCAATTTCCCCCTCTATTTTCTGTTCCACTATTTTTAATTGTTTCTAATTCTTGTGGCAAGAAGGACATTTTTTCTGGCACTAATTCAGTCACTGGTAGGAAGGGAAATACTTCAGATACCTCAGGCAAAAGTGCTGCTTTCCGGGACTCCTAATCTGCTAATGTGTTACCAATTGCTTCTGCAGAATATCCTGTTTGATGTCCTTTAACATGGACCACTGCTTTGTGTTGAGGTGACTTTCAATAATCTCTTTATCAAATTCTCCCGTGCTAGTGCCTTGCCTCTATGGGTTAAAAATCCTCTTTCTTCCCATAATTTCTCAAACGCATATGCACATTTGGAATATATGCATGTTTGGAATCCGTATAGACATTAGCTATTTTTCCCTGGTGTATTTTACAAGCTTGTATCAGAGCAAATAGTTCAGCTGTTTGTGCTGACCAGATACAAGGTAATCTACCACACTCTTTTAACTGTTCTCCTTCAATTGTAGCATACCCAGCATAAAACTTCCCTTCTACGTGTGAGGATCCATCAATAAACACATTTTGTCCTCTGGATAGTGGACCGTCTGTTAGATCAACTCTAGCTCATGTTTGAAGATCTGTTACCTGAATGCAGTCATGAACTATTTCGGGGTTTTGTTCATCCCCGTTTAAACAGCAAGCTGGATTGAAACTTTTTCCACCTTTGATTTCTAAATCATCTTACTCCATTAGACAAGTTTCATACTATAACAGTCATGCATTAGTCATCCATTTAGAGGCTCTTTCTGTCAATAATGCTTTAACTTAGTGTGGGACTCTAACTACTAAACACCCTGCATTAGTTAGCTTTCTAGCCTCAAGCACCATTTGAACTGTAGCTGCATAACTTTGAAGGCAGTGTGGCCATCCCCTAACCACTGGGTCTAATAATTTAGAGAAATAGGCCATTGGCCTGTGAGAGCCATCATGGTCTGGTATTAACACGACTGAGGCTCACTGTTTTTTGTGTCTGTCCTGACCTACTCTGTTTGACCAGCTCTGTAGTCTTGGCCTGCAGTAAATGAGGTGAAATACGCTTTCCTCAACCTTGTTGACATACCTACATGGGCAAAGCATTTTGGTTGAATACAGAGAATCGCATAAAGTTGTTTACAGGAAGGATTTTTGGAAGTGGTTTTGTACAACCTCCCAAGCGGAGATGGAATTTTTCCATCCCTAGATCAGGTTAGCTATAGGTTTGGCTATCCAGGCTCTGAAAATCTCACAGGACAGAGATACTGTCACTGTTCTGGGCAGCGTGTTCCCATGGTTGCCCTTCTCTTCATCTCTCCATGTCCAACCTCAGTTTCACAAGTGGTTACACATTTGTATCAGTTTCTCTCGTATCATCTCCTTCTACTAAGAAGAGTTTATCTGATAACTCACCCTTTTGGTATCTGTAGATCACCCTTGGTGTTCTCTTGACTGATATAATAACATCAGGACAACCTCTTGCAACCTCCTGTAAATGTGGGTTCCACATCCCAGAATTAGCAGCGTGTGTGCATGTGTAGTAATTGCTTTCATATCTAATATTTTTATCATACAGAGAGTGCCATGTGAATGTCCATGCCTGTAGAGAGGCTTTTTGAAGTATGTGAGTTCAGGGACCTGCCTTTGCACCAGTTTTTCTTTCTCTGCAGGATTAGGACATTGATATTTTGTGTACTTTTTTTTTTTCATTTATTTTAATGACGAAAATCTATTTTGTGTTATTTAGCCAAATTATGTAACCTGAGTTCCTTTTTGTAAGCTCTGTAATTTTTTTGTGTCATGTAAAGCAACTTTAATTTGAAACAGTGTTGTTTTTTAAGTAAGATTCAGGGTTGAAAACTGTTAATTGTAACAAAGTTTTACCTTGAATTAAATGTATGATCAATGTTTAGAAGACTTAAAAAGCACTACCAAATGGGGATATAGCTATAGCTCAGTTGGAACTGGTTTTGGAAATCCTGTGATGATCAGCTCCATCATGTCTTTAGTGTTCACATAATACTATGTTTTACTAATGTTAAAGCGAAAAAACTTGGAAACATATTTAAATTTAGAAATTAAAGCACATATTTATACAATACACAACTCTTCATTGTATTGCTTTGAAGGGCTATCTTGCCTTCAGCCTGAGGGGTAAAATGACATACACCAGCTTTATGCTCTGACATGATTGCACTATTGTCCTTTGAATGTTTTTATGGTTTTGTTCAGTACATAAGAACTGTTCATGTAATTGCACAGTTATTGTTTTTGTTAGTGAATGTGCTCCCTTAGTACATGTATTTATTTGAAAAGGAAAGGTTTTTCATATTTTTCCTCATAATCTATAACTAAATTATTTTTATCCAGTTGACGTGGAAGCATTATTTTATATCAGGGTTTTTTTACCCTTTTTAATTGTAATGTAGTACACATTTCTTAGGCAATAATTTCTGTGAGACACTCTTAAAAATGTTTTGATCACATAAGTTCTTGTAACCACTTTGTGCCTGTGTAGCATATATTAGTGTCCTGATAAGACAAGCTGCAGCTTCTAAGTACTGTTATGGCCTTATATGCCTTAAGTATTTTTCTGTGTAAGTAACTACAAAATCCTCAATTATTTTAGGAAAAAAACTACAGTTATAAATCTGTATGCCATGTTAAAATGTACTTCAAGGAAAATATCTATGGACCACTCCTTCAAGGAGCATCATGTAGATGTGCATACATGTAGATCCCTAAATAAACTAATAGGTTTTGTGCTAGTGCAGGCAGTCTGTATATAAATCCTTTTAAAGTGGTTTTCTTTTCTTCCTTAATACACTGCTGTACAGCGATGCTAGGCAATATTTTAGGGGAAAACGCTGCAGTCAGAGACCTCTAATTCTTAAACCCAAGAGGCAAACAGATTCATATAGTCAAGGCACTTCACTGTATTTAGAAGACACATATTTCCAAGATGTTTTTGGCTATATTAGGTAGTTATAAAAATGGATCAATATTTCATGTGA